AACAAACTGTTCTGGTCTGGACATGTTGTGAAAAAGCCCTCAGTCTCTACAGACCTCAGTTAGCATGTTAAATGTTAAATGTCATGACAGTACAATTAGAAAAAGACTGAACACGTATGGTTTGTTTGGAAGGGTTGCCAGGAGAAAGCCTCTTCTCTCTAAAAGGAACATGGCAGCACAGCATAGATTTGCAAAGTTGCATCTGAGCAAACTGCAAGACTTCTGGAACAATGTCCTTTGGGCAGACGAGACCAGAGTGGAGATGTGACGAATGTAATGCACAGCATCACATTTGGTGAAAACCAAACACAGCATATCAGCACAAACACCTCATACCAACTGACAAGCACGGTGGTGGAGGGATGATGATTTGGGCTTGTTTTACAGCCACATGAATAAACTCATCTGTATACCAAAGTGTTCTAGAGTCAAATGTGAGGCCATCTGTCTAACAGCTAAAGATTGGCCAAAATTGGACCATGCAACAGGACAATGATCCCATCCTCACCAGCAAATCTACAACAAAATGGCTATAAAAGAAAAGAATCAAAGTGTTGCAATGGACCAGTCAAAGTCCAAACTTCAACCTGATTGAAATGTTTTGGCGGGACCTTAAGAGGGCTGTGCATTAACAAATGCCCACAAACCTCAATGCACTGAAGCAAGGTTGTAAAGAAGAGTGGGCCACAATGATGTGAGAGACTGATAAAGTCATACAGAACAGATTACTTCAAATTAGGGATCCACCGATACCAGTGCAGATACTTGGCATTTTCATGAGAACTACCACGGTTGCAGCTGGGACCTGGTTCTGGCGCTCCACCACTGTCCTGAAATCATTGGTCTGTATTGTTTTAGAAAAACTGTCACATGACACTAAACAAAAATATATCGGTACTTGTAAGTACTTGGGCAAGTACCAGTACTTGTACTTGCAAAACTGGTATCGGTGCATCCCTTTATTTATATTTATAAAAACAAAATCATACATCAAAACAGAGATGTACAAATCCCAGGAGCTCTGTGAGATGCTAAGAAAGGACAGCTGCCTCCTAACGTTTGAATTTTTCTCTAGTCTAGTCTTGGAGCTGGAAAAGTATCTGAACTTGTACTTGTACCGAGTACGATTTGGTATCGGTGCATCTCTACTTCACACCATTGCTGCTAAAGGTGATTCTACAAGCTACTGACTCATAAGGTGTACTTAGTTTTTCACACTTGGCTTCTCCATTTTGGCTTTATGTTTGTAAAATAAATAATGACACGGTGTAATATGTCATGTCTTGTTGTTCATCTGAGGTTGTATTTACCCAATTGTTAGACCTGCTAAGGACCAGATGATTTTGATTATGTCCTGATACTTAAAACTAGGGATGGACCAATATCATTTTTTTTTTTTTTTTTTAAAGTCTCATAGAAGTATAAATGTATTGAACAATATATAATAAAAGCATCAAATATGCATCAAAGGATGAAAATAAGAAGCATATACCTCAGGGGAAAAGATATATCTCCTATCACCCCCTATACACCACAATTGAGATTTTTGCCTAAATGATCATAATCTCATACATGTGAGGAAATACCATCATAATAACTAAGCTTACGAGTTTACAGGCAGTGCCTTTCTAGCATTGCAAGCAACATATCACCCGCATCAGCCTTCACCCTTTCCACTTGAGATACATTCCATTAATACCTGTCTCAGATTGAGTTGCCTTGCTATTATGTTATTATGATGTTATTTCCTCACATGTATGAGATTATGATCATTTAGGCAAAAATCTCAATTGTGGTGTATAGGGGGTGATAGGAGGTATATCTTTTCCCCTGAGGTATATGCTTCTTATTTTTATCCTTTCATTCATTTTTCATGCTTTTATTATATATTGTTCAATAAATGTATACTTTTTATACTTCTATGAGACTGATGTTTATTGGACTTTATTGGGCTGGAGCCACCAAAAAACCCCATCTTTTTCTATCCCTCCTCCTTTTTTTTTTTTTAAACAAATTTACTAGGGGTTGGTCTCCAGAAAGCAGGGATCTGTGCATCACAAAACAGTTTTGCTTCTTTTATAGAACTGATACTGATTATGGGCCACCTTTCAGGCCGATAACATATCAGGTAACAGTATTCTGCTTACATCCAGCTGAGCCAGCAACTGAATGTAAACAGCATGCAGTCGCCTGATATCAGCCTACCCCTACTTAGCCTCCCCTCCCCCACCCTATTCATCTGCCAGCAGCAGGATTCTGCAGCCAGCAGCTGAATGTAAACAGCGGGCAGTGCAAAAGCCAGCCTGCTATAGGCTATTTAAAATTGCAATAGACAATAGCAGGCTGCCTATTGCACCCACCCAATTCTTCAGGTCCTCCTCTGCTGATTGACAGCAGGCAGTGTGCGGGTGCAATAGCCAGCCTGCTATTGGCTATATCAATTTGGAATCGCCAATAGCAGGCTGGATATTGCTTCCTCTGCTATCTGCTGTTTTATTTGTATTCTGACAGTGCTCGCTATCAGAATACCCGAACAGAGCTGCAGCTCTAAGGCTGCTGGCTCTGTTCCTTCATAGATTTTCTGACCGGCTTCAATCAGCTGATCGAGGGATGCCGGCCGGACCGACCATAGGACCCACTGTGCGAAATTTGCAGTGTTTATTATCGGCAATATAGGTACATTTACCCAATACTGATAATTAAAGAATCTTGGAACATCGGCCCCCGATTATCGGTAGATCTGATCGGTCAATCCCTACTTAAAGGAGAACTATGGGGTCAATGTTTTTCCCCATAGTTCTCCTTAGGGTAACGGGAGGACACAAACTAGCGTCCTCCCGTCACCCTAAGCTCAGTATACCGCGAGCTACAGCTCGCGATATACTGAGACGCCGCAGCCGGAGCGGATCCCGACTTAGACGACGGGATCTGCCCAGCTGCGTGAGTGACAGCTGGCTCTGCCTATCTAGAGGCAGAGCCAGCTGTACCCGCCCCCTCCCCCGTCTGTTCCACCAGTCAGCGCTGGCAGATGGGAGGGGGGAATCCAGCCCCTCCCCCTGTCACGGCAGAGAGCCGTGACGGGATCGAGAGGTAAGCGAACCCGGTATGTGTTCGCTCACCTCCCGATCTACTGAGCTGACCTGTGGCAGTCTCATTGTCACAGGTCGGCTAGAACTATGAGGTGAGTGAAAAGCCCTCACCTCATAGTTCTCCTTTAAAACCATAGAATTGAAAGAGGGGTGTACTCTCCTTTTCACACGACTGTATGTAGTGACATCTAGTGGCCAAATAGACTTGGTGCAGGGTATATAAAGCTAGAAAAAATATATAGATGAGCAGCAACATACGTGCTAAATGTGGCAAAATAAAATACAGAGCAAAAGCCAATTATCTTATTATTAACAATAGGACTCGGAGGAGGGAAGCAAGCAATCATTGATAATAATAGGAAACATCCTGTTTGGAATCCAAACTGACTAGGTTCTATATTTTCATCATGAAAATCCAATATACTTCCCTCCTACAGAGACTCAAAAAAGTATCTCCTGCTTCTTCTAATAACAAACCCATGTCTGTGTCATGACTGTGCTCAAAATGTTTGGCAACATTAATAGGTTTATTTTTGTTTTTGTTGCGCCAAGTACAATAAAGCCAAAAATTGGAGTTCGGGGCATTTTTTGAATTGTTTTAAAAGTTTTTGTCTAGGTTAAAAAAAAAAGTTCTACTCACCTGATCCTCTGAGCCGGCCTGCTCTAAAGCTCATCACACACTTTACAATCTGATTATACAATCTCCTTTAGATCTACCAACAACTATGTCGTGCAAGGACCTGCCTGATTGGATGCAGATTGATTGGATGGATTAGGTAGGTCCACATATTACATAGATTTGGTAAATCTAAAATCGATTGTACATAAATTGTATGGTCAGATTGTAACGTGTGTGGTGACCCTTAGGGCTTGTTTACACCAGATCCGGACTTTTTTGTCCACAACTTAAATGCATCCCAATGTATTTCTAGGCTCTGCTCACATTAGTGCAGTCCGTTCCGGTGTGGAGGAAAAGAATTGCTGCATGCACTATTTTTTTCTGGACTGGAATGCACCAAAACACATGTAAACGCATGCAAACACACTGGACAGCACCTGAAAGCCCATTTTATGGCTTGTTCATACCATGTCCGGACCATTTCTAGACCAGCTCAGTTTGTTCCCGGGCCAGAAAAGCACACCAATGTATCCCTATTGTATTTTTGGGCTCTGTTCACAGCAGCGCAGTATATTCCATTCTATTCCGGTCCAGATAAAAGAAATGCTGCTGGTCTGGAATGCACTGAAACGAATGGGAATGTTAAAAAAGCATACAAACGCACTGGACTGCATCTGAAAGCCAATCTTAAGCTGGCAAAAAAAAGCGGCAAAAACGCACTGCACTGGGTTTGCAGATCTGCTCCGGACATGGTGTGAACATGACCGGTCCCTTCCGCCCCACTTTACTGCAACGATCTAAGATCCCTGAGTCATCATCAGTGCTGGGGTAGCTCAGCAAGGGTTAATCACATTTGTGCCCAGAGTTGTTCTTTAATGGAGAAACAATTGGAGATTATATTCGGTTTTTATGCACTAAAATTTTCTTTTCTTCTTCCCCCTAAAAATATAATTTCACACACATTTACAGAAATATTCTACATGATAAAAATGAGATTCATTTCAGCAGCAAAAGGGTTAAAACATCTGGGCCTGCTGTGTGCATGAAATGCTGTAGACTGCTTTCCAGACAGTTGCCAAGAGTTTGCAAAACCGAGAAAAATGTGACAAGTGAATTTCTAAATGAGTCAGATATTTCTTGTGTGCCGAACAGGCAGGTGACTTCACATCTGTCGTAACAGATTGACCTCGTCACCTCCTGAATCATCACGACATCGCACAGATAGGCGAGGTTTGTTTAGTCTCAGTATTAGATATGTGGGAGGATATTATCTGTATGATTTTGTCTTTCAGCTCCAGATAGGTCATTACTGGAACAGATCAAAAACATTTCGATGAAAGAAGAAGAGAAAGAAGAAGTGAGCCCACACATTGAAATACTGGAGGAGAGCAATCTGAAGCCTTCGAAAGCTTCCCTGATAGAGGTGATCTCCAGTACGGAGCTGGCTGAGGAAGATCTGATACCTACTCCCCATCATGAGCTGTCTGTCATTAACAACCTGTCCGGGACACCACAGAAAATAATCCTGAGGGCTGCATTACATGGAGTGCGCTCTGTTTCTGATTGTGAGCTAAGTGTGTCTAAGGTAACAGGAGAAACACTGATATAAATGAAACATCTTCTGCATACAGCTAAATCCATCAAGATGTATGACAAATGGGGAGATTACAGTGTAGGTTAATTGGGTTCTTATCTAAATAGCAATAAAGTGGACCTGTCAGGCTGTACAAACTATAGCTAGTCACACACATAGATTTTCTCTTGTCAGCCTGTGGGATGAACGAGAGAAAATCACTCAATTCCCCCATCCATGCTCAACGGTGTGGACAGAGGAATCTCCACTACCAGCTACAGTATTCAGACAACCATGGCTGCCTTTATAACCGAGCAGTGGCTACATCTGATTTGATGCAGTCAGTGTTCGCCAAACAGTTTTCCACCTTGCTCCTTTGATTTTTAAATCAACTTGTGTTGAGCAAGGTGGTGCTGACAGAGGCAACCACGGGTGAAATTTTTGCTGATTCATCAAGAATTGGCCTTTAGTCAAGCTGCATATGGGTAGCTTAAGGGTTCATTCACACCAGATGCGTTGAGGATGCGCTGGCAGCCTTGCCCAGAGCAGTTCCAATGCATAGACAAAGCAAAAAGCCTTGTGTTCAGTGTGGTGTGCACTGGAAAAAAGCACTGCTTCCACTACTTTTTTTCAGTACAGCATGTTGCAATGCAAACCACCTCATCACTATGCCACTGCAGTTGATAGAACTGAATGAGATGTAATTTGTGACCTTTTCAGTAAAGCTTGAACAAAAAAAAAAAAAAAGGTAAACAGTGCGGTATGCCAAGACCGGTGCATTGTCACTGTTCCAGTGCACACCAGCGGCGGTGCATTCAGCAAGGCTGGCTGGTGTTAACCATCCCTTACAATGCTGTAAAGGTGCAGGAATCTTATGGTGATTACAAGCACCTCTTTAATCCTTGGATTACATTTTGATCCTCCATACCTGGAAGTATTGGGTATTTCTTTGCTCACAGCAGCTCAATAGAGTAGCCGAAGAGTGAGGAAAAAGTCACAATGTGCTGCTGGGGTGGGGGGTGGTTTGGTTGGGGCAGTGAAGTGAATCAGTTTGCTTTTAAGGTACTTGACACAACAAATTGATCTTATATTTTCCTGATAAAAATGGGATTCCATATACATTTTGCAGATTAATATCTTTCCTCTATTACAACCCAACAATGAGAGTGAAAATAGGTCCATGCTTTTCAGAACAAATAAGATCTGTTGTGTCATGGCTGTCCACTGTCTTTGGTATTTCTATACACAGCTGAATCCTTGGCATTAGCCATATGGCAACGTCTGAATAAAATTGGATGTGATATATCTGGGGAATCTAGAATGTTTGCTCTTTACTGATGACTTATTATTATCCATCTCAGACCCTGTTTTTGTACTGCTGAATTTGTGTTGCTTGTACCACTCAGGAAGGTAAATTTGAGGCCCTACACGTACAGGGTTATTCGCCAAAGGGTGAAGAGTTTGGAGAAGGCCGGAGAAGTGAATAATCTAGGACAACATAGCTGATCTGGAAACATTCTCCAATGCAGCTCACTTTCCAGTTCAGCTATGTTGTCCTAGATTGTTCACTTCTCCTGCCTTCTCCAAACTCTTCACCCTTTTGGGAATAACCCTGTAAATGTCTTCCAGTTATTGTTGTCATTTGCCTTTAATATGCTGGCTTTGGAAACCTTGTGATATATATGCAGCAGCTAACAACTATTCTGACAAAGCTGTTAAAATTTGAAAGGGAAACCGCAGTGATATTCTCTGTGCAGAGTGTAGTAGTTAGGTAGGTGAGCACATCTGACTTCTAGAAAACGCTTTAAAGTGACTCTTTCACTGAAGAAATTCTGCTGATGATTTTGGTGAAGTGACATTCTGAAGGAAATAAATCCTGCTGTTTGTGTTTCAGGATGATTTAATGGTTGAAGTCCCTGGAAAGTACCGACTGCACTTAGACCTTCCTGTGTTGGTCAACGAGGATTCAGCTACTGCAACATACAACAAAGTAAATGGTACTTTGACTGTTACTGTGTCAGTAGCAGAGAATCAAGGAGTATAACATGGTAATCTTCAAGAGGCACCCAGTGCTTAGCTTATGGCACCAAATGTGGAGGAACAGAATGAAGCGTCCTACAAATGAGTTAGAAGCAAGAACAAAGCAGAGGACGTTATAATAGTGACACAGGAATATTTCTTTGGTTTGCATATTTTTATAGGAAAAAAGAAACAAAGCGCTAATTGTTCATCTGAAATATGGTGAGCAATAGGAGTCGGTGAGTGCGGCCAGATCTTATCTTTGAGCACGGTGGAGACTGGAGAGCACTGATTCACTAATTGTTTTTGCATTCACAGACGTGGTGTTGGAAGATATATCCTCACATATTTCAAGGACTTTATTGTATCAAGAAGTAATGGACTTCACATATGGTTATGTAGATTAAGAGGGAGTTGTACATCACTTGTGAGATTTAACACAGGATTTTCTATATGTACACATGAGATGTACTAACACATTTTTTTGTCTTCTATGTTTATTATGGTTTATAGTGTCTAGACCATTAGACCTAGAGTTTTTCTTACTATCATCAGCACAGGCATTGTGCAACACAGGTGTTGTGTATGACACAAAATTGTTTATCACTTTGTGACAATTTCACACAAATTTTTCTCACATTTTAGGAATATTTTTTGAGTTTGTGAAGCGCATTGCTATTTTCTTTTTTCGGGTGTACTCACCTATTAAGCACAGCTGTTATTTGATTCCTAGCGCAGTTTTTTTTCTATCTAACATTACATATTTTTTATACCCCACATGTATTTTTTCTGAAAGTATATGTAAAATAAAAACTTTATAGTAACTTTATCGTGCGGAGGTGTTAAAACCTGTCAGGTTGTTTTTTGTTGTTGTAAATTCTTTATTTAAAACAGAGATGTTACATCACAGACATTTACAGGGAATGCAGCTACAGTTTTGTACACCTTTTGGGATAACAGCGAGGCACTGAGCAAGAATAAAGAGTAAATACACAGCTTTACATGGCATCATGTGTGGTGTGATTTTTAAACGTTGCAAGGAGCACATCCCCATCCTTGTTTCAAAGTACAAGAGACAGACAGAGGAGACGTCATGGTAAAATAATAGGGGGGACTCATTGCTTGATTGATATTCAAAAAAGGATAAATATATCTCCATCTCCTATGATTATCTCACGGTTTATGTGTCCATAATTGAGGTGCTATATTCTTGACAGTGAACAAACTTTGTCCAGTAACTCGATGGTTGTATGCCTGTGCACCTGCTGGGGAGATTCACCTTCCGTATTTATAATGGTGACCATTGTCTCCCGTGCAGAAAGTGACAGAAATCCAACATTTGAAATCTGTGTGAATGAGAGAAATTGTTTAACGTGGACACCTGTTCTAGTGATAACTGGCCAAGAGGGGATTGTCCCTCACTTTGGACAGATTTCCTCCAACGTACTATATCTCTGGGACAGGAAGGGAAATCTCCCTGGCTGGACAGATTTCTTTTTAGAAATGCACACTACATAACTCAAGGAACTGTCAATATTTACCTAGAATATTTATTCTGTGTTTGGTTTGAGGATGGAAAGGGTGTAGATTGCTGGCTCGGGCGCTATATATACACGTTATATCCTGTATGGAGCCAGTTCAAGTCTTTTAAACCTGAGAACCAGTTTTATAGCTATTATAGGTCCCGGAATACAAGGTTTTACACAAATTGGAAATACACTATGGGGTCTGTTCACAAAGCTGCCGAAGGATCTGGCCGTAGCTTCGGCCGATCCTTCAGCTAGCAGGCCTTGGTGGAATCCTTCCACCATCTGGAGGGTCGGTACCTATAGCCGCACAGGCGGCACAACATAGTGGGACCCTCACGGGTCATACTCATCCTTTATTCTATACCCTCTAATCCGGGGGGGTGTAGTTTTGACTGTGTCCAAGTTTCTGGATCTTTTGTGTTTTAAGTGCTGTTGTACAGCTACTTTGATTTTTGTATGTCAAGCCTTTATTGTATACCTTGTGAAACCATTAATAAAACTTTATTGAACTAAATATTGTTACCTTCCAATGCTTCCATTGATACAGAAATAACCAGCTGCTTCTCTGCACAGAATGTGGCAGATAATAGCATCTTGTTTTCTGTTTCGAAATTACATTTCTTCGCAGCATAAAATGATTATGAATTTGAAAATAAAGTAATAAAAAAACCAAGGAGGTGATAGTGAACCTGTTGCTTAGGTTCCCTTTGCTTAGTGCATGATACAAGGAAAGCTATCAGCAGGATGGTTGCTATTAAATGGTTTATATTGAATAAATGAACACAAACACCACTAGGAAGAAATTCATGTTTGCTAACCATGACAAACCAGAGTCGAGCTTACACAGAGTGCCTGCTCCGATTGCTGCAATAGGCACACACAGAGGGTTTACCATATTTTTCGCTCCATTAGACGCAGCTGACCATAAGACGCACCTAGGTCGCTGCCCGTGTTGCCTGTGTCTAACTAGAGCTAGAACTCTTGTGACAGCTGAGAGGAAGGGCTGCGAGTGCAGCTCTCCCCTCACTGTCTACTCCATCCGGAGAGGATTTGCAGCTGTCCGGCGGCGTGAAAGGTAGCCAGCGGGGAAGAGCGGGCGATAACCTTCTGACGGGGACTTACCTGCCGCTCCCGGGCAAATTCGGCTCTGCATGTACGTATACCCCCACACGCTCACACTGCTCAGAGAGGCGGCTCTGATCACACCTGACAGAACTCCCTCTCTCTCCTCCTGGCCACTCTGAAGCTGCAGCGGCCCGGGCGGAGAGAGAGGGAGCGCTGGACAGGTGTGATGGCCGCCGCCATCTTAAAGGGGCCCCCTCCCAGTCGCATCTTTCCGCCCCCCGGCGCCGTCAAGCAGCTGCTTGACCTGCCCATAGGGTAGCGCCGGGTCTGGGCGCAGGAGATTGTCAAGACCTGGGTGGAATATTCGCTCCATAAGACGCACAGACATTTTTGCCTGCCGTTGGGGGGAAAAAAGTGCGTCTTACGGAGCGAAAAATACGGTAACTTGTTTAGTGCATAACAAAGTTCTAACACATACTGGTAAGGATGGGGATGGGGCATGTTTATGGTAGACACCCAAAACTAAAGCTATGCCACACTCCAGCCTTAAATCTTTCATGACACACTTATGGAGGTCTGCAGTGCCACCAAGTGATGGGCAGACAGAAATAGAATAACACAAAGAAGAATGTGAGCTCCAAAAGCCACATGGTCAGCTAAGATTTAGTGGCCAAACATCATTTTCCAGACCAGGGCTGACCCTACACTATTTGCTGCCTGGGGGGGGAATCGTTACGTTCAGTGAATGGACATTCCGGGGTGACGTCAGTGAGCTGGGCAGGAAGCCGGACAGAGCATCACAGGTTAGTTTAGCAACCTGGGAATGATGTGCTCCCCACCACATGCTGCCCCCCAAATGAGATGTTGCTTGAGGCAACCGCCTTTGGCTGCTACATTGTAGGGACAGCCCTGTTCCAAACAATACTACCTGGTGATAAGGACACTTTAATTCCAGATGGAGACTCACCAGAGCTTTTGTTCTTATTGTAGATATTCCTCACTCTGTAAAGCAAGCTTGAAACTTTCTTCTTTAGCTCTCATTTCTGGTAAACGAGTAATACTCCATTTTACACTCTTGTAGAAGTTTGTGTCAGTTTGGAGTCAGTGGAAGATACATCTAGCTAGCCATACACATGTAGATTTCTCTCATGCTGAACTTCAGCTCTCAAAGGTGCCCATACACTGCACGATTATCGCGGGCAATCCCGCGATCGTACCATAATCGCAAAGTGTATGGAAGGCTTGCAACCGTTTCTACTGTACGGTCGCACGACTTTTGTATTTTGAGCATGTTCAAAAACCAGCCGAGAATCGTACGAGAGATAACTGCCGCACGGGCCGGTGTGCGCAAGCGCACACTGCCCGTTCAGCATTGCGGTCATCGGAAGCCCGCCCCTCAGCGGGGCGGGCTTGTGACTAGCGCAAGTACGATCTGCCTGTCCAAGATGGGCAGATCGTACGCTTTTTAAAATTACTTTACAAAAGTCTTGCGAGGGTTGTAAAGTGTATGGCCACCTTTAATAAACCGACCAAAATTTGCACAGTGTGTGGCCCTGTTGGCAACCTTTGATCAGGAGCCGGATGGAAAATCTTCAGGTGAACAGTGAATGCAGCCAGTGAATTACCTGCTGTCACTGTTCCGGTATTCTGGAAGCGCCAGACCTGCTACTATCAGAATACACCGGTCACAATGGGAGATTTGTCCATCCATATGTTTCTTTCATTTGGATTGAGGAATCTATTATATTTTTCTTGTTTGACAAAAAATAAAAAACAGTGTATGGCCAGCTTTAGGATCTTACATTTTTACTATCCAAATATGCCTGCAACAATTTATTCTCACTCCGACTTAATTTGGATTGGTGCACCCGAAAAAGACTTTGTTGCATCACTTAGAAAAGCTGTAGTACTCTTGGCATGCTTCAATATAGCAGCATTTACAGCGTATAGTAATGCGGGCAAGCAAAAGGTAGGAAGCCCAGTGTAAGCTCCAAGCTGCAAGGACTTAAGGACTCTTTCCCCGTTCCCATTTGGCAGTGCTGGATACCTGAGGGTCCAATTGCAAAGCACCGCCGCTGTCATGTGGATGGAAGGTAGTAGGTCATATGCACTCCCGTACCTTGAAGTCCTCCCAAGACCTCCTGCTCTCTAACTCCCTCGTCAACTCCTCCCAGGCTCGCCTCCAGGACTTCTCTAGATTCTCTCCCATTCTTTGGAACTCCTTACCCCAACCTGTCCGTCTATCTCCCACTCTGACTGCCTTTGGGCGATCACTAAAGACTCATCTCTTCAGGGAAGCCTATCACACTTCAAACTAACCACTGAACTATTTCTTTCTCAAACAATTCATCCCCACACAGCTACCTTCTCATGTATCACTTGCCCCTCCCTCTTAGATTGAAAGCCCTCCTTACCATTGTGTCTTGAATTGTATTGTAATTATAATGTCTTCCCTATGTTGTAAAGTGCTGCACAAATTGTTGGCACTATAAAAATCCTGTATAATAATAATAATACTCAGTATACTCTTTACTCCAAGGAGCTGCTTTGAGTTGCATTAGAACAAAGGGAAGAACATTGCACGGTGGTGTCACTATATAAGTGAACCTGTTGCTTTCTCTCACATGGACTACTTAGAGGTGTACCTAAAGGCGAATACTGCTTTTGGTGTTACCTGGAAGCCTCCAATGTATAATCTTTATAATCAACACTATTAAATCACAAGTGAAACGAGGATAGGACAACAATGCCTAAACATACATTTATTTATCCCGTGGGAAAATAGGCAGACATCTCATTATATAGAAGACTTGCTCTTTCAGTACTGGACAGTTATGATTTAAAACCATTCCAGAAAACATTGACCTTTGTAGGAAGACCTTTACAACATTGATGACCTCCACACATCACAGTTCTGTGGAGATTGGGAACAGTTACTGGAGTGGAGCACTGGTAATCTGTACAGAATGAAGATTTAAAAAAGAAAAAAAAAACTAGCCGAGTTACTAGCTTTTTTTTCTTTTGTTCGTTTAAATAATAATAAAAAAAGGTATTCATGTTAACGGTGAGAGTTCAGAGACAAGAGTATAAATAGTTTGTATGAATAGAATAGTTGACCGGAGGAAAAGGCAAACTCATTTATAGCAGCATTGTCATTGGTTTTTCCAGGAACTTTTTGAACTCGGCCAACCACTGAGCACCGACTGCCCCATCTACCACTCGGTGATCGCAGCTCAGGGTGACAGACATCATGTTGGCAACATCAAAACTGCAGGAAAGCAAAAAACAATTCATGAGGACCAGAGGGCAAGCCTTACACACACACACACACACACACACACACACACACAAGAAATACAAAAGAAAACATTGAATGTATACATCAGAGTGCCTAGAAAAGCTTTCATTTTGCAGCCATGTGAAAATAAACATGGCCAACTATTTCTGAGCAGATTTCAAACTTCAGGCTCATTTACTTTCCTTGATTTCTTCAAAGGAAGAACATTTGACAAAAGGTGGATTCTTTTCAGCATCCACCATCTCTCTGTACATGTCTGGGCCATTCATAAAAACTGGATAATAATAATAATAATAATGAGAATAATGAGAACTTAAAGTCAAACCCTAAGCCTTGGTTCACACCTAGGCGTATTGCATATGCGCGTCTGTCGCGCGGTTTATTACCGCGATTCGCGGTAAAAAAAAACGCGCGACAAACGGGCGTTTCCGATGGCTACTTGGCTGTATCCCAGTGGAAACGCGCAACAAAAATGGCCCAAAGTAGTACATGTGCCTTTTCAGGTGTGGGCCGTTTTGTAGCGCGTTAGGGACGGGCTAAAATACGCCAAGGTGTGAACCAGACCCATTGAATACAATGGGATTTAGATGTTTAAGCGTTTTGTAGAGCGTTCGTCGAGCGTAGAAAGCGCTACAAAACGTTCAGGTGTGAACGTGGGCTAAGAGTCACTGAAACAATTGAAATGTCAGTTTCCTTCAATAGAAGAGCTCACCTCTTCTACCATCGCTCCCTTGCAGCACAGCAACCTCCAGCAGATTCTTCAGCTTTTGACACTTTCAGGAGTGTCAGATCAATGAGTCTCCCATAATCTGTCCCCTACAGGACACAGCAGTGAAGTAGGGGTCAGAGGATGGAACCACAGTGTGCAGTGGGGGGGGCACAGACATTTGGCACTTTCTATAAATGTTAAATGCTGAAGGATCTGATGGAGGCCGCAGTATTGGAACCAAGCTATTGTAGAAGAACAGGTGAGAATAACAGCGATTCTGTCACATGGAACTGACATCGCAGTTTTTTAAGTGACTGACAGGGTCACTTTAGGTAGAACTGTTGACCATAGCAACCAATTAGAATTTGTTTTGAACAGGAACTGTAAAATCTGACCGTTACCTAGAGGTAACTTCTCCACATCTAGACAATAACTTACCGGAGAATAAAAAAGGAAATGGCCATGAACCAAACAATTGAAATAAATAAAGATGGCAATAGTCAGAGTGAGGCTCATAGAAGGAAGGACATCACCCAGCCATCAAAACACAATGCTTGTACACAAAGGCTGACAATCCCTTTTAACTCCTCTGGTGTCAGATTAAAAAACAGAATTAAGCCGCAATACGGGGAAAAAGTCATTTCTGTTCTTACCCTTTCTCGTTATCTGCTGGAACGAGTCTGTTCTCTGATCCTCCCACAGCAAGAATACAGGCCTGTGGTGGGTTAATTATGGCAGAGAAGTTTTTGATTCCATACATTCCCAGGTTAGATACAGTAAATGTTCCACCCTGCAATATACAAAATGGTAAATCAGGAAACAAACTGCATTAGTAGGCGATTGGAAACTCTACCATACACAATGTGGTTCTTGTAACATTTAACATTATTTATGTAAATCTAGTCACTTTAAGTACATAAGCTGTAAATGACAAGACTGATGAGTACAAATTAATAACATTTGGATATTCTTTACAGTAAGCTTTACCCTATATTAAAAAAAGTGTAAAGCCCTGGGTAAACTGACTTGTTTTTTTTATTTGGTAACAGTCTCTTGCAATCCACTGTACAGCAGAGCTCAGACAGGACAGGCAGCACAAAGAGACAATCAGTTGTTCTGCAGTGCTCATGTGCTAACAAGGGACACACTGATAGGAGGAGATTGAGCAACAGAGATGACCTCATTATTCTGCTGCCTCTCCTTGGCTGGGGGAGAGACGAGACCTGTGAGCTTTACTTAACTGCAATAGAGAAAAATCAGGTCTCCTGCCCTCTTAGACAGGGCTGTGCTATGTGGCAGGGCTGAGTAAATCTCAGGACTGGATAGACAGAAATACAAAAACACAAAACAGCCTGATATATGTATTTCATATGTGTAGTTTGCTTTTTGCTTGGATTTCATCTATAAAATCTCCAAGATTTCCTAAAGTAGCAATTATACTCACTCTGTACATCATCTGTCATCTAATGTGTATTTTAACAATGGCTTTATATATTATATTAGACTACTGCTGCTATATATATATATATATCAACATATTTCTAGATTTTCCATCCCTAACTCAGGTTACCTGGTGTTTTATCTGGAATGAAACTTTTTATAACCACAAAACCAGTGCGTGTTCTTGAAGAAAAAAAAATCAACCGTATTACATGCAGCTAAACATCAGTGAACATACCTGGAATTCATGTGGCTTTAGCTTGCCTTCTCTCGCACGAGCAGCCAAAGATGTCACATCTTTGCTGATGGCTGTCAGACCCTTTATGTGAGCATTGAAGACTATGGGTGTTATCAGTCCAGCAGGGGTGCTTACTGCCACATTCACATCTACAACATGATTCCTGGAAAGACACAAGCATTACAGATTCAAAAATCTACCACAAAACCCGACTACACATACAGTATACTCCTCGATTTACAGAATGCAAGCTGCCCAACTGCCCATGCACAGCTCAGTGCCACCCAGTCAGTAATCTCCGTTCAGCTCTACCCGTGTATGCACAGTGAGGCCAAAGTGCAAAAAGGACTGGTGGGAATGAGAAACAGATAACATCTGGGTAATAGTTTTTACCAAAAGACTGACAAAATATTCCTCATTAGGTAAATGACATTGAGATAACCTAAGGATAAACTGTAATGGGTAATGATGAGCACATTGGTTAATGTAAGTCATTGTCAACACTGCTAATGGAACATGAAAGGACCATCACCAATTACATCCCAGAGTTTGTAAAGTGGATTCTCACTTAGCTTAGTGAATGAGGTGAAGCTGTGCTGACTTTAAACACCCAGGGACAGATGAACGGCCCTGGATTCAAACAGTCTGCAAACATGGCCACTTATCTGTCCTTAACTACATGTAATTGTGCCTTATAAGGGTGTCCAAAATATAGTGATTATATTTTAGTTATAAAATTCTTCCATGAGCGATTTCATGCCAACAGCCGCAGATCATGTCAGCCTGTGATTGATTTGTAAAGGCTTCCAGCCCCAGAAATACACCGATCTGGGTGCTGTACGGCCATGAACAGCTGTGTGACTGAGCCCTAAATGTGCTGCCTACAACATACTATAAAAGCTGCCATATATTTACTGTCGAATAACTGTGTCCATCCAGGAGGAGTTTGCTTCGGGTACTTTCAGACACGCCAAGGCAGAACCCTTAATGATGAAATCATTGACAGAGAGCTTGATGTTTTCTGACTTTGTAACCTAGAAAGCGGAGACATACAGACATATTAAATCATCTAACATAAAGCCAAGCTAACATTATATTTGTAGAGGCTAAAATAAACCACCAATACCATGTAGAAACTTTGTTTTAAATGCTTTTTTTAGTACATGCAAGTTTTTTGGGGTAGGACATATTAAAATATAAGAAATAGAAAAATACCTGAACATCCCCAGTGTACACCCAACACCTAAAAGGCATTTAAACAAGAATATTTACCTAATGAAAAGTAGATCTGTTAGGTTAGGTGCATGCTCATGAAATGTTGTCCTTATCTTTGCTTTCTTACTTAAGCCATACACACTAAAATTTTTGTTAGATAATCGAATGAATGTTTCACAAACAATCGTTTTCAAACAGATAATGGGGATAATCGCTATTGCCATTCATTTTAAACCACAGTGAACCCAAAAACAGAAGGACGGAAACAAAAAACAGTGAATGTGGTCTTCAGTTGGGAAAAAATGATCATGAACCTTTGCTCATTTTCTTTTCTTCTATTCTTTATTGTAAGAACATTTTTCATGAACTTTTGTTCATTTAAAAGAATTTGTATGGTATAGGAATGTATGAAAGAATAGTGCATAATATTTATTTAGCTATATATATTTAAGGATATTCTAGTATCTTGCAATATATCCAGTATATCCACTATAACCCATGGGCCCATGTACTTTTGTACTATGAATGTATTGAATGTACAGTATTATACACAGTACATTTGCTTATAAATATGCAATGTACTTATACATTTAAACCAACCTTGGTTTCCATTATTATTTTGTTGATTTAATTTAAAAAAGTATAAAACTAGGGATGCACAGATACTTTTCGAGTACCAGTGCCGATACTTGGCATTTTCATGAGAACTACCAGGGTTACAGCGGTTGCAGCTGGGACCTGGCTCTGGCGCTCCACCAATGTCCTGAAATCATTAGTCAATATTGTTTTAAAAAAACTGTCACATGATAATAAACAAAAATGTATCAGTACTTGTAAGTACTCGGCAAGTACCAGTACTCGCAAAACTGGTATCTGTGCATCCCTTCATTTATATTTATAAAAACAAAATCATACATTAAAACAGAGATGTACAAATCCCAGGAGCTCCGTATGCTCCTTACAAATGACAGCTGCCTCCTAACTTCTGAATTTTTCTCTAGTCTAGTCTTGGAGCTCAAAAGTATCGGTACATGTACTCGTACCGAGTACTGTACTTGGTATCTGTGCAACCCTGTATAAAACTATTATTTTATAATAAACAAACATTTTTAGAGCTACACAGATATTTTAAACAAAATTTGTGGAGTTAATGATGGCATATGCTCTGATGAACGAGTCTTCAGAAATATGAACATTAAATTGATAATCTAACCAAGTATGGCTACCTTTAGTTACTGACTGATGCAGTCAGTATATAACCAACTCTAGGTTAACTCAATAAACTGTAAAGGAAGTACAAGGAGAAGCTTGTATGTTCTAGAATAAGTAGAGCAATGGCAGTGCCCATGTTTCTATTCAGACAGGTTCCTGTACAGCTAGCCACATAATCACATTACACTTAAATAAAACTATAGAATTTTTTGGTGAAAAATATCAATGTGCCTTAATGTGGCTAACAACCCAGCTACATGTGTATAATGGTGTATTTTTGCTTCTGTATGTAGCCGCTCATCTGTAGCATGTCATAGCTGCATAAATCAGACCCTGGTAAAAAGACCAGCTCCAGCAAAGCAATAGAAGCTATTCCTGCTCCATTGCTGTGTTGTGTGGCGGCATAATGCAGTGCAGGGTCCGAGCCTAGACAAGGCTTGTGAGTAAGTTGTGGAGTCTGCAAACAAACTGCCTTTAATTTCAATGGAATGTGTAACTAGTTATATTTGGTGATTTCAGAATTGTTATTTCCTAGAATGGAGTTCTGAAAGCCATTTATAAATGTTTGGATTGTTTTTGTAATCTTCTTACCTCATTCAGCTCCTTCCGCAAATTTAGAATTTCTCCCATGCTTATATCGATGGAGAGATAGTAGTGAGGTATAGTCTGTTTGGACTGCATGAGACGCTGTGCTATCACCTAGAAATAACAGGATTACGGAAAGTTAGTCTAATGATATATTCTGTAAAACACTTTAATGCCCAGTTAATAAATGTTCTTTAAATGTCAAGTATACAGTGGAAATACATATACTGAATGTATAGAACCTGACAAAGAAATAGCCATTTTGCCTGGAGTTCAGCTTTAAGAGTTTTTAATTAACTGAAAACAGAATTTCTATAGTTTACATTTGCGGCATCTTCATAGTTATTCATTTGGGAAGTCAAGTACAATCCCTGAGATGCCAAAGTGCAAACTCAGAAAAATGGTCAGTGAGGGGTCAATGTACAGATTCTGGAATCAGGTCAGGGAGGCATTAAATGCACATACACTGCTTGTCTGCATACTGGCGATTGAATGTGGTGTACTGGAGGGTGCATCTAGTTTATGTGTGTGCCTCATTAGGGTTTTGAAAAATATACAATATATTATAGCATGCTTAGACTTTGGCCTACTAAAGGTGTGCCCAAGCCTGGGTACTGAAGAAACATGTCCTTGTTCCTTCCTTCGCTGTCAAAAGTGCCAAAGCCTTGTCCCATTAAACCCCTGATGAGTATGCTAGGACTGGCATAGGGATCTTGTGAGGGAGGGCAATAGAAAATGGTTAGGTACCCCAATCCTGACACCTGATTTGCCTCTAACATGGGAAGGATGCACAATATGTGCCTTTGTGGCAAACAGCAAGTTGCAGAGTCCATTCTGTTAAACAGGAAAGTGAAAGATGTGGCTCACAATGGTGAGTGTCTGGCTTGCTCAGCTAGAGGACCTTGATTGTCTGTGGAGTTTGGGGGGACAAGGAGAGGTTCTGGAAACAGCCAACAATAGTGAGGGGGCTTGGCTGTGGAACATGGGGGTGAAGGGCTGACAAACCATGAGTTCTGCATGCTTGGTAATAAATATCCAATCACTACTGACAGTTACTTATAATCATTACCCATTTACACAACTTGATGACAATAGTTTTATTTTTATAAACAATTATACTTTAACTAATTTACTGGGTCCCTTTCTGGGAGAATGATTTCTATAATTTATCATCATCCCAGGGCCACGAAGAAAATTAATAAATAAGATTAAAAATGATAAACTACGCTATAAGATGTAGAAATGTGTCCCATTTTATTACCCTGACTGTATTGCATAGGGACTATACAACCTCATTAAAGGAGAACTATGGGGTCAGGGCTTTTCCACATAGTTCTCCTCAGGGTAACGGGAGGACACAAACCAGTGTCCTCCCGACACCCAAAGCTCAGTATACCGCGAGCTACAGCAGCCGGAACAGATCCCGACAATTCTGTCTGGATCCACCCAGCTGAGTGACAGCTGGCTTTGCCTATCTAGAGGCAGAGTCAGCTGTACCCGCCCCCTCCCCCGTTCGTTCCGCCAGTCAGCGCTGGAGGATCGGACAGGTGAGGGGGGGGGAATCCCTGCAGGAAGCCGTGACTGACAGTCATGGCTCTCTGCATGGATAGACCGAGAAGTGAGCGAGCACCGGTATGTGTTCGCTCACATCCCGATCTACTGAGCCGACCTGTGACAGTTTGATTGTCACAGGTCAGCTCAGATTATGAGGCTGAGTGAAAATCACTCGCCTCATAATTCTCCTTTAAGCTTGTCTAATTTCATACTAGACTGCTACCTGCCCAAATTTAAGGAGGTAACAGATAGTCTTTCCTTTACTGTGCTCATAGCTTCCTGTGAGAGGCTACCTGGATCAAGCAATAGGCATACTTTACGACACTATAGAAACAACCTGATCCTAAAGCCGTGCATACCCTGCCCAATGTGAATCCTAATATTGAATAATACGACAGTGTTCCTGGAGAAAGCTTGGTAAGGTTTTACCTACATGCTGGACTGCAAACACTACAGCTACTGAATGAAGTGGTATAGCATCTTGTGTCTGCCATAAGGCGCTCTATTAACAGGGAGCCTGTCCTGCTGAGTACAATTACTGTATTTGCTGGCGTATAAGACTACTTTTTATGCCTAAAAACATCCCCCGAAAATTGGGGGTCGTCTTATACGCAGGGTATACAATGTATACCTTTAGTTAGTTTAGGCCAAGACAAACATCCCTAATCTGTCAGCCCGCTGGATGTGTGGCAATACTGTATGTACAGTAGCTTCGGGTACATACAGTAGCTGAGCCAATCACGGTGAGCGATGTACACAACCTCTGCCAATCCAAGCAAGCTTTGTATTCATTAATAGAATACATTGCCATGATTGGCTCAGCACGGTATACTGTATGTAGCTGAAGCTACCGCACATCCATCCATGATATTTTTAAATGGTGTTGCCTCGGAAGTGGGGTAGTCTTATATGACGAGTATAGCCGAAAACCTATGTTTTAAGTGGAAAATTAGGGGGTCGTCTTATACACCCAGTCGCCTTATACGCCGGCAAATACGGTAGATCTAAAAATGAAGGGCTAAATACTAACTGACTTGTACATAATACCATGAAACTGTAATAATGCAAAATGCAGCATAATATACAATGTTCTGCTTTATCTTTGTAAGAAATAACTACATATGCTATACACCACTTAGATATAGGCATGACGATGTATTACACTGAATTACACATTTAAAGTGGAACTTAACTAAAAAAATGAAGATCTGCTATGCTATAGGAAACATTTAGAAATATTAATTGTGCCTAAGCAGTACCCTGAAAATGTACCTTTTTCTGAAATTCCTCCTGAAAAGTAGCAGCGCACTTCCTGGTATGCGAGGGTGCCTAGGCACTCTTACAGCCTCTTAGCTGTATATCTGCAGCGTGACATCAAAGGCACTGATGCCTCTGACTGGTAGTCTGAGGAGATTTAGGGTGAGAATTAATGACATCACTAAGTGCTGCTCACTGTTCTTGCTGAAGGCTCCGACATAAGGAAGCAAAGCCCTGCCACTACCAAGATGACCAACTGCACACAGAAACACAGTGCAGAACAAAGCATGGTAGGTCAGTAATGGAGAAAGATCAGCTGCAGGGAGACTGCAGGCAATGATAGTGAGAAGTCATTTTTCCTCTGCCTGCTTTTTTTCGGGCACAGCTTACAGAGTGGAATTCCTCTTTAAAAAAACATTTCCTGAATTGAAAATAAAATTCTATGTGGTTATTCAAAAACAATGGGCTTTTGTACTGATCAATGCACCCTTCTTAGAGTACCACAGCTGCAATGCAGAAGATATGGAGGTGTGGATGAATCCTTACCTTCCTAATATTGCTAACGGGAATATCTGTAAAGGTTCCAGTAGGAACAGCTGCCACGGCTGGAAAGGGCTGTATGGCTGCAGGGGCTGGAGCAGCGGCTGCTGGAGCCTAGAAGTCCATATAAAACAAATACATGAGAATAATTAGAAAAACGAGGTTTACAACAAAGTGTTTACATACAGAAGGCACTCCATTTCAATTTTAAAAAGCATGTACGTTTTCAAGGTCAATTGACAACCTTGAGTTTATTACTTGGTATGGAATGCAATAAATAAATAGATACTTCACAGGACACCTATACAGTCACTGCGCTCAAATGCTTTGTGGTGTCTTCTGGCTTATTCCAGACACTTCAGTAAGGAAGAGCGGATCCTGCCAAAAAACAATCTCCCAGTATGACTGTCGCCAGACAGAGCAAGTAGATATTATTATACAGGATTCATATAGCGCCAACAGTTTGCGCAGCGCTTAGTAGATTTAGTCCATCTGTCCTAACACGTTTGCCATAATTGGTGGGTGACACATAGCTGAGCATAAGGCCTCATTCACACACAACGCAAGCAAAATTGTATATTGCGTATATATACACGCGTCTGTGCACATATATACGAGCGCCTATATGCATGCACTATATGCAATCCCAGAATGCATCACTCGTAATGGAATTTTAATGTGCTGTACGCGCGTAAATACGCAGAGATACGCGGCCCGGACGCATCTCTGTTCCATTCTGTTTTTGCGTATATATATATATATATGGTTAGCAAACGCGTATATGCACGGCAGTGTGAATGAGGCCTAAAGCAGAATGTGGATTCTTCAGATTAAAGTACAAAAAAAAAAAAATATGGCCGCACACTACTACTTCACTGGAAGCTTTTATTGTAAAACGTACAGCTCCATATCATCCCATTATATACAATAAAGGCTTTCCAGTGAAGTAGTGGTGTGAGGCTTGATTTCTTTTGTACTTTAATCCAAAGAGATTGGGACGAGGACAGGTTCAGCCAGTGGGCACCCGAGATCTTCCCCCCAAGAGATGAGAAGTCTTGTGTGAATAGAATGTGAATACCGTTACGCACAACTAAATCTCTGCAGCATGCAATCTCTTATTACCTAAAGAATCAAAGAGGAGTACTCTGTGTAATTTTGAACACGAACACCTCAATCCTTTCAATGACAGCAAAGAACCACAAAAAGTACAACACTGCAAGAGCCTATGCTGTTACTTTATAGAATATATATAGCTAGTGTCTGAATACACATTTTTCTTCTACTGTCTGCATTCCATCTGATGCTGCATTCTGTCACTAGTTTATGGATAGATCATTTTGATTGAAGGAAATCTGTCAATACAAAATGCTTACAAGGAGACTCAGCAGAAGTGGTCACATTTATTGAGCTGCACAGTTAGACAGTACCAGTGACATTATACACAGTGGGGCTGAACAGGTTTAACCTCTTGCCGTCCGCCCGTAGTAAAAAAACGGACGGACGGCACTGCTGCATTTGCGGGCACGCACGGGCAGAAAAGACCCGACGGTTGCACACACCCGTTACAGGGTGTTTCACATACCAGTTGACATGGCATTGCCAAGCATCTAATACACTGCCCAGAATTCAAATGGCAGCTCCAACTGGATGCTTTTCACTGATATTTTACTTCAGAACAACATCCCTCTGAGGTATACCTCAACGCCCCCACTGATAGCTTCAGAGTGAACAAAGCAACAGCATAACTCCCCAACTTCAGTGTCTACATAAACTAGTCCAGAGCAGTGGGAGGGATACAGTATACTCACACTTACAGGAGCAACCTTGGGAGGTACAAAGGATTCAATATCTTTCTTTGTAATCCTGCCATCAGGCCCGGTACCTGAAACAACCCCCAGAAAAATATTGTGTAAGAATGAAAGCAAATAAATGTCAAGATAAAGAATAGCTTGTTATTATAAAGTATAAACTATCTTGACATCAAATATAGTACACAGGCCTAGAGAAAACTGGAGCCATTAAACATCATATCTTATTTATTGATCGTACAGTATGACTGCTTCACAGGCCACAGTATGTGTAAAGCCTTCTATTGTAGAGGATATAGGAAATCTGTAAGTGGTTACAAACTGACCCTGTTGTACTGGTTGATTGGATAACTACATAGTAAAATAGGTTTAATATATTGACCCATGTAAAAGGTATGTACATGGGAATATAACAGGCATGTATCATACAATCTAGGGGATAAAACTTGGTGACTCAATTATGAATAATTTAGGTGTCCTGATAGATCCTAGACCTTTTATACAATACCAACCTGCAGCTGAAATACACTAAATGTATTCATTAAATTCAGTGGAAAGTTGCTCATTTTAACATGAGCACAAAAGACACGAGGTCCCAAATGGAAGAGAGGCTTTAGTCTCTCGATTAAAATGTCAAACCAAAAGCCTTTTTTAAAGTTTTGGACAGAGCAGCAAGGGTTAGAATCCATTTTTGGGTCTTTACTGCAATCAAGAGCTCTATCAGAGAGATTTACTCTCCCTTCCTGTCCTGATAACATTTGATCAAACCAGAGGTGAGTGGAAACAGCAACACAGACAGAAATAAAAGCACTTTAGTAGAGTAGGTGAAACCTGGAACCCCTGTTATAATTTTATTTCCATTGTCCCCGTCTGTTAAAACACTGTCCCAGAAAACATTAAAACCTTTTAGGGGTTTAACCCTTTCTTGCTCTATCCAGAACTAAAAAATTAAAACTGGCTTGAAATTTAGATGCAAGAAATTGACATCTTTGTTATGGCTTTGTAGGATGGGTGGAGGCTTAAACTACTGCAAGGAAAGCCTATGGTGAGGATCTTTAAGCTACAATACTATATAGAAGAGATGTCACCAGCACACCTGGATGTGTGTCCAAACAAATGTTCTTTATTGATGTATATTGTCAACAATATAACATACGTGTGTGTGTGTGTACATATTATATATCACATTTAATAAATAATTTTTATTTTTTTTAATTAGCGTTGCCCATCTAGTCTAGAATACAAAAATTAAATGTGGTGGCACAATCTGTATCTGACCTCACCTTTCACTTGGTTTACATTTATGCCTTGTTCTGATGCCAGCTTTTTGGCCAACGGACTCACAAATACTCTTCCTTTGGGTGCTGAGCTTGGTGCAGTAGGAGCAGAAGAAACTGGTATTGATGGCGGGAAGCCTGCAGCCTGCAGATGTAACAATCCAGATATAAATGCAAAAACGTGTATGTTTAAATAAATAAAATACTCAAGATTGTTCTTTTTTTTAAATATCTCCTACAGTGTTTTACAAAAACAGATGAAAAATAGTATTTTCAGTTCAAGATTTAATTGAATGTGCCTGTCAGCAGTATGCAAAGCAGCAGCTGTAAGAGTTCATCCAGTGCAGCATTGCAGTGGACAATGATGAAATGCAGCAACCAATCAGAAATCAGCTAAACCGATCTGGAACATTATATCTGATTGCTATAACTTACTTAATGTACAACACTATCATCAACAAATCACACCCAACTTAGGAGTTTTCCACTTTTAGGGGCAGAATGATGACAGGATCGGGGGTCTACTCCCTTTAGACCTAACACTGCCCTGAGGACAATGGGAGCTGTTCAGAAGGCACTAAAATGAGCAGTAGCCCTAGGAAGATGGACACTACAAGACATCTGGAGATGTTTAAAAGCAGTCCCATGAGAAAGTAAGAGAAGGAACACCCAAACAACTCACATGGCTGCCTGAACAACTTTACAGCCAACACCAGTCCTGGCAGAGGGTGCCATGTCAATATGGAAGAACTTTGTTAACATATCAACCATGGACCAAGTTGCAGCCTTTAGCCTGACTGAACGTAATATATTGCAGATTACCAGTTTGGCGGCTGCATTTGTTTTCTTTTTTAGGCTTAGAATATTTTTAGCAAGTGTAGAAAACTACCTGTGATCCTTTCAGAAAACTCCCTGTGCACCAAACCTTTTAAAAAAGTTATCTGCTTTTTCAGCTATAGGATGATAAAGCTGCTCCACCATAGGTACAGTGTAGCGAGTGAGCCTTGTCACCCTACGATAGGAAGTGAATTATTGACAGAATCAAAGAACAAAAATCCTGAAATAAGAAAACTAATGCAGCGACCACATCGGAGGACTGATACACTGCATTATATTTCATTGTTCTTAGCTTTAGATATACTTTGATATAATGCTTAAAAAGTAAGGAGGTTGGCAGTACGCATTCTATGAGACGGTTATGAATAGTACAACATTCTTCATTTACTAAATATAGGTATAAAAAAGTTTAAAGGTTTTAAAACTTCTTTATAATAATGTACCGGAGTGGAGGGAGCAGGCTGGGGCTTAATGTCTACGGCTCCGACTATCTCTTTGTAATCTGCAAAGCTTCCAACATCTGACTCTTTCTCCACTATGATACAGAGTGGTGTTCCAAGTGGTACGTCCCGCGTGCCTTCCGGAATCAAGATTTTGGCCAAATATCCTTCTTCTTGCACCTCGAAACCTTGGTGAAAGAGACCAAAATGAATTAAAAATATGTAATATGAGAACAAATATCAATCTTTCTGAAGAGAGACCAAAACAAAACTATTATAATCCCGAAGAGGAGGTACCACATTTTACCTGAATATTCCTAGTAATCAACAAAAGGCATTTCTGAGTACCTGGTGGGCCCTAAACCTAGGTATACTCCACACACACACACTGCTTGACGACCTCGGGAACACTTCACAACATCTCAGCTTCTTTTTTCCAACAGAATGAAATAATCAGAAAGGTGACAAAAAAGGTACATCACAGTCAAACTACATCCATGCAATCACAGAGATGAGGCAAAGGCACAAAGATATGATGAAACCAGTAAACACAGCACAGTATATCCCATGTATTCTATACATGAAGTGATGAATAACAATACATTTTTTCATTAAGTAGAGAAAGTAAACTATAAACGTATAGGATCACAGTTTTATGCAGATCCCCGTGTATTGGCTTGTGGGTGCCTGCACTGCATTGTGCAATGCCCAAACTCTTACTTGATGCTAAAGATCAGAAGGGTGTCCTGATTTGGGGGTACCTTGGCCCACAGAAAATGTTTTGCCGACTACTAAAAGCTATATGCACACACCTTCAGCCACATAATCTTATAAGAGCATTGTAGTTTTGTATATAAATACTAGTGTTAGGTTCACTTAACTGGCCCATTAAAAGGAGATATATGCATAGGAATAATCACCCCCAAAAAATAATATTTTGCATATGAATAGCAAGCACCGCCACTATTACAATGTACCAAAAGCTTATTTAAATTAGCATGTTTATGCAGAACACATTTTAAGGTCAAAGGATCACTGATGCATGGTTGAACGGTGGTTAGCATGGATGACCTGAAGGTCATACCACACCAAGGCTTTGTCTTTGGAAAAAAATTGAATGCATTACAATGCTATCAAGTAGGGATGCACAGATACTGTTCGAGCTCCAAGACTAGACTAGAGAAAAATTCTAAAGTTTGGAGGCAGCTGTCATTTCTTAGCATCACACAGAGCTCCTGGGATTTGTACATCTCTGTTTTAATGTACGATTTTGTTTTTATAAATAAAGGGATGCACAGATACCAGTTTTGCGAGTACGAGTACTGGTACTTGCCGAGTACTTACAAGTACGAGTACTGATACATTTTTGTTTATTGTCATGTGACAGTTTTTCTAAAACAATACAGACTAATGATTTCAGGACAGTGGTGGAGCGCCAGAGCCAGGTCCCAGCTGCAACCACTGCAACCCCGGTAGTTCTCATTAAAATGCCAAGTATCTGCACTGGTACTCGAAAAGTATCTGTGCATCCCTACTATCAAGCATCACTGCTATCCAAATGACTAGGAAACTGAACTGCTTTTTCTCAGATAATTGTTTAACAAGATATTCTGCAGGTAAATTAAACCACGTAATATAATGTAAACCAAGTAATGTTGTAGCACTTTCTATATTTCACACAACACTTTGTAGTCTTACGTTTCATAACAGATGTGTTTTACCTATTGTGGCTTTATCTGTTTCGATCTCTGCCAGTAGATCGCCCTCGCTGAGCTTCTCTCCGACCTTCTTTTCCCATTTCTGTACTGTTCCCATTGTCATTGTTGGTGATAGTGCAGGTAACATGATCTAGAGATACGGGATATAACAGATCTTGTGTTAGTAAATATTAAGAAGAAAAAGTCCCCTGTAGTTCAGGAATCCTGGCGTCAATTCCCATCAGGCACCCTATGTGCATGGAGTTTGTGCATTCTGGATATTCTGATTTTCTCCAACAACCCAGTAACTCATGGATTCATTCACTGTAACCAAAACTGGCCATAGTGTGTACATCTGTACGGCCATGTTAGGGGAATTGAGATGGAACAAATGGCTAAATATAAACATTTCCTATTTTACCTTACATAGGGAAGGGGGGCCAATGCAAGATTACAGTAAGCCAGAGTTCAGTTTTAAGATGCATAGAGATCCTGTATTACACTGGTCTTGGAAAAAAGCAGCACTCACCAAAACACATAGACCTGGCTTGCTAATGCACAATAAAAACAACAAAAAAACTTGAAGAATCAAATGCTCATCATGTGCTTTGCTTCTATAAAATGTTTGTGTACATACTGCAGCTGATAAAATAACTGGCATTGATTATATTACATGACATAATGCATTCACAGGGTTACCTTCAAGTGTGTGGGATAGGAACTGCCTGGGGCTTGAACTGCTGCTGGTGGTGGTGGCTGGGCAGCCGCTGTTGGGGTGCTTGAAGGAGCAGCAGAAGCAGCTGTAACAGTGTCCAATGTGTAGTTTTTAAAGGCATCAATCAATTCTGGCCTATGGAATAACAAACAAAACCAATCAAAACAGCAAGTTAGAAATGTATAAGGGATCTTGAAATTATGTAATAGTTAAGGAAAACTAATATGGAGTTTTATACAGTGTCACTATAGCAAGGACTCATGTGGTTAGCAGATATAGCAGTGGGATTAGTTTCAGTATTTTCTACAATTAAGAAACCAACAAATAATTATGACTCAAGTGTTTTTTTGGGGACTTTTTTATGATAGGTCAACTTTATAGAAGGCACACCTTCCTACTTGTAATCACCTGTCTAAAGATCTCTAGAAAAAAAAAAGCTGCAAACACTTTCAATAACATTTACTTTTCAGCCAAGTTGGGATAACACCTACTTTACATTTGTTACATGTTCCCATTCACATAGCATAACCTAAAAAATATCACAAATTTCCTTTTTCCATGATGTTTCTACAAACTCCGGGCCTGAAAAATCCTGCTTAGTTCTCGCTGCCTGCGGGTCTGGGAGGAGTTTTGTTTCAAACAATGAGCCCTGTTTGTACCGTGCTGGCAGATGTCATTATTACTTTAGATTGTAAGCCCTCACGGGCACGGCCCTCCTTACCATCTTGTCTTAAATTGTAATGTTATGTCATACTTATATTGTAAAGCGCTGCACGCACTGTTGGCGCTATATAAATCCTGTATAATAATAATAATAATATTGATAATAATTACTTTTTAAACTAGATGAGCAGGACTGTCTGTCCTAACAAAGGGTTAAAGACCAGAAGACACTGGGGGGAATTTATCAAGGATGGAGCAGACAAAGTCTGGAGCAGTTGCTCATAATAGCCAATCAGCTTCTCTCTTCAGCTTGTTCAGTTAAGCTTTGCAAATGAAAGATAGAAGCTGATTGGTTGCCATGCACAGCTGCTCCAGATTTTGTCTGCTCCAGTTTTGATAAATTCCCATCATTGCATGTTAATAAAACTTTTAGAAAACTGTCCACCAGTCTGTCTTATCTGCACACTGGCACCTATTCTAACCACTAGAAGCTGGGGCGTGGCCGGGATGTGAGACTGAGCAGACGTGTCTCACTGCAGCTCCCGACATCCGTGCTACATCCTGACCCTTAGCTAGCTGACAAACCGGCCGAAATACTCACCCAGTACTGTCGGGTGATCCGGTGACTCCTGCCTTCTCCTTGATGCAGACCAGGAGACGATCGACCCGGTCCCGAGCGAGCGGTGGCACTCCAGGCCGGCCTGCTGACACGTGCGCCGGCGCCATCTTGGCTGCACGAGCTGCTTCTCTCACCTCTGCAGGCACACAGACGGCGGTGTGGGACGACATGGAGACGGATCCTGTGACTACTCCTGTAAGTGAAGCCCCCCTGTCCCCAGAGGGTTATGGTCAGAGGGTTAGTTATTGGACCTTGCATGGTCCTTTACGGTTGTTGGCATACGTTATGCCGTAATGTATACACTGTTGCGTATGAATGGGGTGCTATGTTGGTGCCCGAATGTTACTGTAATGTAATTGTTTACTATGCAAAATAAATAAAAAGATTTTTCAAAAAAATAAATAAAAATAACCACTAGAAGCTGTCTGTAGAGTCCTATGTATAATCATGATCCAAAGAACAGCTAAAAAAGGTAAGAAATCTTCTGAAAAAATATTTCTAGCTATGCTGTATAAATGGGAACACATTACAAACATAGATTTGGTTTTCACAAATTTGCCTGCAAAAGTGTAAACACCCTTTAGGGGCTCAGTAACACCAAAATGTGCATAAAATCTTGTGAAAAAACACAGTGTGTCCTTGCAGAGACTTGCGCTAATCAGATAGAGAAAAACATTGGTCTCTGCACATGGTGCGAATGAGCCCTTAAAGCAGAACTCCGGGTAAACATTTTCTTCACCTTTGCAGTGGGACTAACCCCCTCAGTGCAAGAGTTAAGTATTCGTTTGTGTCTAGGTTCAAAAATAACAAATATATACTCACCCGATCCTCCGAGCCATCTTGCTCTTAGACCAGGCCCTTTCCACCTGTCTCCTCTTCCACTGCAGCAGTGGACGACTCACTGGACCTTAGACCACTGAAATGGAGGGGGAGCAAGGTGGAAGGGACCGATCTATGAGCAGGTATATTGTTATTATTTTTAAGCTAGACACAAACGAGCACTTAACCCTCGCAGTGCAGGGGTAGCCCCACTGCAAGGGTTAAGAATATCTTTACAGAGAGTTCTGCTTTACTCCTAGAATACTTTTAAACATGGAAGGCTTTTTTTTTTCCTCTTCAACAAAGCGGAGTTTCACTTGAAGCCCACTTTAAAATCACTACAAAAGCAGATCACAACTAGAAGGAAGCATAAAACATGACTGGTCACAGATATACCTTATAATATATTGCAGGTTCCAGTCTTACAGAGTATTCCCTGTATCTCTTTTATTGGCTCCTTAAAATGAGTTATAGATTTTAGAAACATGTTGCACACATGGGATTATAGATTTGTAAGGACACTGGCATCTGTAACTTAAACAAAAACATAGCTTACACTGTATAAAACCTAAATAATAAAGCAATCAAGACATGGGGCATGTGCTCGTCACTCACTTGTCAACGGTGATGCAAATTATGGCACCAATTTGGACATCCTTTGTTCCTTCAGCCACCAAGATTTTAGCCAGATAACACTCCTCCACACACTCAAATCCAACTGTGGCTTTGTCTGTCTCAACCTGCAAAACAACCGCCATTTTTAACATCAGTGCGTCACACTGGTTGCTGTATTTAAATCTCATTCCCGCACCACCAATCCATGCACCATGGATATAAAGTGCTCATACCATCCAGCTTCTATCCTTACAACAGGGGCCCTTAGAATATTCTTTCTCCAGAAGTGAGAAGTTATGTCCCCCATACTAACAGTTGTTACCTATGATGTGTTTTGATTTGAAAAGTCACTGACACATTACTGTCCACTTGGTACACCTAAAAAAGGACATGCAGTGCCCAAGCAGGGCTACAAGGTGCTATTGAGCACTGATATTTATATGAAACATAGAAATCGATTGGTGGACAATAACCCATTGTGCCAAGAAGCAATAAAGAAAGAAAGGTTACACTAGCCTCGAGGCCAGTTATAAAAGTCTATTACATCAAGCACTGGATATCTAGGAAAAACATTCCATGTTAAAGTTAAATATGAATTCTATGTAGTATGTGGCTATGTGCACAATATTTGATTGGGACGGCTACTGTTTCATCTTTCATGGCTGTATAAATCTGAATAAGCCTCCAATGAAAATGACTGAAAGTGCACTTCACTTAAAAGGAGAACTATGGGGGTCAGTGTTTTTCCCCATAGTTCTCCTTAGGGTAACGGGAGGACACAAACTAGCGTCCTCCCGTTACGAATGAAGATTTGCTACATTATAGGTAACATCCAGAAATAATAATGTGCCTAAGCAGTACCTTGAAAATGTACCTTTTGCCTTGATTTCCTCCTAAAAATAGCAGCACGCTTCCTGACATGTGACTGTACCTAGACACTCATTCTGTAGCCAGCATATCTGCAGTGTGAGATTATCTTAGGCACTGCTGTCCCTAAATGATAATCTTACAGGATCTGGAGTGAGATATGATGTCACTCCTGTGCTGCTCACTATTCTTCTGAAGTAGGGATCTCCCCGTTTCTGCTTCCTTCATTCTGTAGATCTGTGCTTTCTCCACATCTTTGGCTGCTTCTTGATCATTAAAACAGAACTCTGGGCAAATAAAATCTTAGCCCTTGCAGTGGGGCTACCCCATCACTGCAAGGGTTAAGTGCTCATTTTGCATAAGGAGCTAACAAAGTTCTGCTCACCCGAATCACTATCCTGGCTTGCTTTTAGACCACTTCCTTCAGCCTCGCCCCCACTTCTCTCCAGTGGGCTAAGGTCCTGTGAGTCATCACGTCCAATATAGTGTATTGGACGTGAAGACGCCATAGGGCTAGACAGACAGTCCATCACTAGAGCGGCAGAGGAGACACGATGGAGAGGCCGGTCTTAGAACAAGCCAGGATCGCATTTCAGGTGAATATAACTTTGTTATTTTATCTCCTTAGGCTAAACGAGAACTTAACCCTTGCAGTGAGGGGGTAGAAGTCACCAGCAAAGAAGTCACCAGCACTCCGACTGTGATGTAACTTCATCTTTTTATTGAAGCGCATCGGTCATATCACAAAGCATATGACAGACTTGCGTCCATAAAAGACAAAGTTACATCACAGTTGGAGTGCCGGTGACGTCTTGTCCATTTGCTGGAGAGACTGAAAGTCCCATCAGTTGCCATGGCAGAAGGACTTGTAGTTCTCAAAGGAATACAAATATGGTGACATCTCCACACTTGTAGTCCATTGACAATTCCTCCCAGCCATGTTACTGAATGTTTGTACCTCGGTACAGACATGGGCAGGTGGAAGAGTCTGCGGAAGCCAGAACATTTACTGGCTCCAATGCAAAGAAACAATAAATCATAAAAAGAAAAAAGGAGCATTTATTAAGTGTGCACTTATTTAAAAAAAAAGGAATCTCCCTTTAATACTCTGTGATTGGTCTGTGTCAGTTATTCAGCGACCAGAACTTACCTATTTGTAAAATAAAAAAAATAAAATACAAAAAGCTAGAAGCCTTAATATGTTATAATGATATACAGACAGAGGTACAATGTATCAAACATTTAGAAATCAAACCTCAGCAATGAGATCCCCTTCACTGATTTTATCGCCTTCCTTCTTTTCCCACCGTGCAATGGTTCCCATCTGCATTGTAGGGGAGAGCGCAGGTAAAGGCACCTGTACAAAGAAAAGGGTTGCCAGTAAGACTCCAAAATAAAATGTTCATTATTAAGCACACAAGACTTTTCTCACATCCAATCACCCATTAAGGTAATCCTTACAAAAATCCTTACAAAACATCCTCTGTGTGAATTCTACAGAAGATCTAGTCATAGCAAATGATGGGGAATGAGTGTAAGGTGACAGCTAAGGGCGGCCTGGCAGTGTAAACCATCAGAGGCTCCAATACACTGCAAATGTAATGAATGAAAAACAAGCTCTCTGCCAAACTGTTCTGGATCTGAAAGGACCAAGGTTTGCCCAAATTACACATAGACTAGGATGACTGGTCAGGGAAAAGACACACAACATACAAAAGAAAAAAGTAATACACGGATGCCATATGGTTTGTAGCATCTGCACATTCATATACTGCCAAGGTTCAAACAGAGGTGGTTCGAAGAAGATTTATGAAGGAGACTTCTAAAATTAGATACATATGTCATGGCATGTTAGATATATGGTCATCCTGTCTCAGGGCACATCAATTCAACTTCCATTACCATTAGTGGAAGTCACCCCATTACTGCACAAAATGCTGCTAAACCTCCAGGGCCAGCAAGGGAGAGGTGCCCAGAGGACAATACCAGCAAGCAAGAGGTGACCCGAGGACAATATCAGCAAGGGAACAACTCCATAGGGTAATGCAAGTGGAAGTGTAGCAGTTGTGAAGCTGACGATAGAACCTCCTGTCTGACATAAGATGTTCACCTCAGTCCAGGGCAGCAATTGCTCTTTTAAAACATCCAATTTGTGACAGAGGATTACAGGGCTGGTAATCTTCCACAGACTCCTCAATTTCCTCCCCTCCAGAGACCCTCCGCACGTCTCCCCCTCCAGAGACCCTCCGCACGTCTCCCCCTCCAGAGACCCTGCGCACGTCTCCCCCTCCAGAGACCCTGCGCACGTCTCCCCCTCCAGAGACCCTGCGCACGTCTCCCCCTCCAGAGACCCTCCGCACGTCTCCCCCTCCAGAGACCCTCCGCACGTCTCCCCCTCCAGAGACCCTGCGCACGTCCCCCCCTCCAGAGACCCTCCGCACGTCTCCCCCTCCCGAGACCCTCCACAAATCTCCCCCTCCAGAGACTCTCCACTATGGTATTTTTCTGATGACATTCTACACTGCTGTATAATGTATTGCTGGGATTTGTAGTCCCCTATAGCTGATGGTATTATTCTGCATTGCTGTATATTGTATTGCTGAGATTTATAGTCCCTCTACAGCTTGGAGTCAGTGGCAGAACTACCAGGGTCGCAGCTGCGACCGGGCCCTGGTGCTCCACCACTGTCCCAAAATCACTAGTCTCTATTGATTTAGGAAAGAAAAAAAAAGTATTGGTGAGTACTTGAGAAAAGGTATCGGTACTCATACTCGATCTGGGAAAAATGGCATCTTCAGGTCAGCAAAGGCAGTCTATGAATTCCTCTCATGACAAGTTTCCATTCACACTTTGACATGCGCCTTGCAGAAACCATGTGAGGTGCCTACGGTGCCCCAATGCAGAAAAACACATGGTAAAACATGTAAATAAAAAAATTGGAAAGGATACTGCCCCTCTCCCCTCATGGCTCTTCCTTTGCCTGTCCA